CGAGCGCGCCGGGTGGCTAAAGCACAGCAAGTTGGTACGGTAGGGGGCCACAGGTGGTGCATCAGCCAGTCATCTCGGTCATCTCGGTCAGTCGACCCGTGGCACCTGCTGGGCCTGCCCCCGTGACCTCCTGCCAGCGGGCGTTCGACACTTCACGTGGCCTCAAGGTGCACTTGGCCTGGCACAAGCGTCGTGGTGGACGTCACCGGCCACTTAGTGGCGAATGGCGGTTGTTGTTGTATAGGTGTGTGTGTGTGTAGGTGTGTACGTGTGTAGAGGTGTGTGCGTGTAGGTGGGTGGGGAGCGGTAGTGTAGCAGTTAGCGCGCTGCGCTATGAACCTGGCGACCCGGGTTCGATTCCCGCTCACGGCTAACACCAGTGACGATTATCTGAACCGGTCCTGGGCCTCCCTTAGGTCGACTCAGCCTTAAATGAGTACCTGGTGCGGTGTGTAAACATCGCCACTGGGGAGACAAAGGCGGTCGGGCGTGGTGCTGGCCACCCACCCTCTCGTGTACCGTTCCGGCCTTCATAGGTGCTCGCTAACAGCACTTGCCCCTACAGTCTGTTAAGGCTATACGGGGGATCTTTGTCTTTGTGTGTAGGTGTGTGCGAGTGTATAGAGGTGTGTTGTGTGTAGGTGTGTGTGAGTGTATAGAGGTGTGTGTATAAAGGTGTGTGTGTAGGTGTGTGTAAGTGTCTAGAGGTGTGTGTGTAGGTGTGTGTGAGTGTATAGAAGTGTGTGTGTGTAGGTGTGTGTGAGTGTATAGAGGTGTGTGTGTGTAAGTGTATATAGGTGTGTGTGAGGTCCTGGGGGAGGGAAAATCTCTCAGCCAGGAAAACATCATGGCACAAAGTGGGGATAACCCTGCTGAGGCTGCGGTGCCTCAAATATTGGAGGTCACCCCCTGTGAGTGGCTGGCTGAGGTGCCATCTGTTGAGGAAGTACTGAAGGCGATCCGGAGTCTGAGACCAGGAAAGGCACCGGGCAGAGATGATCTCCCAAGCGAAATGCTGAGGGAGGGTGGCGCTTGTGCACAGACTGCCCTATATGACATCATAACAACAGTCTGGACCGCTGGACGGGTACCGCAGGATTGGAAGGATGCCTTGCTCGGCACGCTGAGGAGAGGCTTGCAGAACCCCAATGCGGTTTCAGGAAAGGGCGGTCCTGTACAGATGCCATATTTTCTGTCTGTCTGCTACAGCAGAGGTGTAGGGAATTCCAACAAGACCTTCATCTCTGCTTTATTGACCTGGTCAAGGCCTATGATACCATCAGTAGGCCTGGGCTCTGGGTTGTTCTTCGTGCTTTCGGAGTCCCTGACCCTCTGCTCACGATCATTAAGGACCTTCATGATGGTGAGCGGGCCCGGGTAAAACTACGTGGCCGGGAATCAGAGCCTTCCCCTGTACACCTTGTGGTGCGACAGGGATGTCCTCAGGCTCCCACATTATTTAACATCTATTTCGACTGCGTAGTTCGTGAAGCCTTCAATAGCTGTACCGGGGGAATTTCCATTTGGTACAGATATAATGGGAGGCTGATCGACCACGTTATGTATGCCGATGATTTGGTAATAGCTGCTCATTCAGAAGAGGAGTTGGAGACGCTGCTGCTGAAACTGGAGCGTGCCACTAAGAGGTGGGGCCTTACCATCAGCCCCACCAAAACTAAGCACCTGCCTGGGTATTTTGTACCATCAGACACTCCACCCCCACAACTCCCAATCGGTGATGGGGCAGTTGTGGAGAGAGTGGAGAGTTTCCCATACCTGGGCAGTGTGCTTATGACCGGCTCCAGTTTATCAGCAGAGGTCTCACTCCGAATCAGTCGAGCGGCATTATCTTTTCATCGGTTGCGTAACGCTGTGTGGAAGCTACCTCCGCACGAAGCTTCAGGTCTTCTCGGCCACGGTCATTCCCTCCCTACTCTACGCTTGCGAAACGTGGACCCCCCTAATGGAGCAACTTCGTCGGTTGGAAACATTTAGGCTGGCCTGCCTACGATCCATCCTGGGTTTAACCAGGCTGGATTGTGTAAGGAGCTCACAAATCCTTGAAAGATCTGGGCAAAGTCCCATCGGTGAGCTCCTCCGGCAGGCAAGGCTGCGTTGGCTGGGTCATGTAGCACGCATGCCCAGCTACCGCATGCCTAAAATCGAGGGGGCTAAACGGGCGCGGCGCGGGCTAGAGAAGAGATGGAGTGATGTGGTACAGGAGGACGTGGAGCTGAGTGGACTTGCCGATGACTGGTACCAGCAGTGTCAAGATCGGCCTCAGTGGAGGAGGCTCGTGAAGGACGCTACTGGGCAGTTGGAGGCAGTCGCCCTCCAACAACAACGGAGGGCTGAGGAGCGACGTTCACAACAACGAGCGGAGCGCCGGGTGGCTAAAGCACAGCAAGTTGGTACGGTAGGGGGCCACAGGTGGTGCATCAGCCAGTCATCTCGGTCATCTCGGTCAGTCGACCCGTGGCACCTGCTGGGCCTGCCCCGTGACCTCCTGCCAGCGGGCGTTCGACACTTCACGTGGCCTCAAGGTGCACTTGGCCTGGCACAAGCGTCGTGGTGACGTCACCGCCACTTAGTGGCGAATGGCGGTTGTTGTTGTATAGGTGTGTGTGTGTAGGTGTGTACGTGTGTAGAGGTGTGTGCGTGTAGGTGTGTGGGGAGCGGTAGTGTAGCAGTTAGCGCGCTGCGCTATGAACCTGGCGACCCGGGTTCGATTCCCACTCACGGCTAACACCAGTGACGATTATCTGAACCGGTCCTGGGCCTCCCCTAGGTCGACTCAGCCTTAAATGAGTACCTGGTGCGGTGTGTAAACATCGCCACTGGGGAGACAAAGGCGGTCGGGCGTGGTGCTGGCCACCCACCCCCTCGTGTACCGTTCCGGCCTTCATAGGTGCTCGCTAACAGCACTTGCCTCTACAGTCTGTTAAGGCTATACGGGGGATTTTTGTCTTTGTAAGTGTGTAGGTGTGTGTGAGTGTATAGAGGTGTATAGAGGTGTGTGTAAGTGTACGGAGGTGTACGGGTGAGTAACCCTGGCAGCGCAACGCTGCTGGCGTCTCGTGCTGCCGCCTGTACCGCGCCTTGTCCACCAGAGGGCATCGCCTACCCACGGGTTGTGTGGCGTCAGGGTGAGAAGTGGAGGGTGGGGGAGGGGTCCGGGGGTGGGGGGGGGGCTGCTGCTGCAGCGCTCAGCAAGGGGTCGTGCTTGGTGCACCACTGCCAATTCTTTATTGCATCGATCTATCTCATTCTTTGTCTCTGCTTCTATTTCTTTGCGCCCGAGTATGCACCGCTACTTGTGGTACCCTATCTGTACTCATTGGAGAGCCACGTCCAAACCACTAAATCTTCTTGTTTCTTGTGTGAAGCCCTCTCCAATATTTTATTTTATTTCTGCAAAAGGGCTGCTGCCATGACTGTGGGATGGTTGTCACGATTGACTTCAAATGTCGCGGTTCGATCTCCCAGCCTGGCCTTGAAAACATTGACCAGGATTCTTACAATTCCCTGTTTTGTCCACCCACAGTCCATCGGTGGGTCGCGTGCAGTGGGCTAAATGGCGAGTACTCCCACCTCTTTCAAGACGAATGGTCAGTGTGGAAAAGTTGGCCAAAACATACCCACAGGATCGGCACTCTAGACCTCCCTCTAGTGGAGGTTCTTTCACCAGCAGTTGCATGAGCAAGTAATTACAGGGCTGCAGCATTAACCTCACGTGTACAACAATCATCTGGTTTACGTGCATTTCAGAACTCCTTGATCCAGACCCCAACATCCCAGTGCTGCAGGCTCAGTGCTCTGCATCAGTGTTACCATTGCGCCGTTGCTCCTCTGCAACCCCGTGCCACCCGTTGCCGCGTGTGACGTCGCTGCGCCCTGTGCACCGCACGTGTCCCCAGCCCCTGCCGCTGCTCCGCCGGGACACCGGCTTGATGCTGACGATGTCTCAGGAGCAGGCCGCCTGCCTCCTGGCCAACGCCTTCTTCTGCACGTTCCCCCGGAGCAACGCCACCGGGACCCGGAGCGAGGACTCTGCCTGCCCCGACATCAACGTCAACAGGTGCAGCAGCAGCAGCCCATCACTGTGGATTACACACCGTACACCGTGTGTCATGCAGTACACACACACAGATGCCATGCTCTCTCTAAATGCAAAGCACACACCACCTGTAGTTGCGGGCACGAGTCTGCAGGGGGTGCCACCGTGAGTTAGAGAGAGAACCGGGACCGTTGAGAGGCCGAGTTCCCCCCCCCCCCCGATCCCGAGGGGTTGGGGGGTTATTCCAGAGCCACCTTGAAGGTTCCAGAAAGGGGGCGGTACCGGGGGTGGAGAGTCCCCAAGGTGGGTATAAAAGACGGACCCCAGGACGGCCCGAGGCAGTGCTCTGAAGACGAAGACTGAAGACCGGCTAGGCTAGGACCCTGGGACCCCGGGACCCTGGGACCCTGGGACCCCGGGACCCGACGTCCTTTTAAGGGGCGGGGCCGAGCACGGACCAGTGGTTGAGACCCGCACCTTGGCTGGGTCGGGTCAGCATAGCCTCCCCGAGGCCACCCTTAGTCGGAGGACTCAGAGCCCGTAGCCCCAGTGATAGGGCACGTTAGCCCGGAGGCCATACCTCCCCAAGTAGTGGGAGTAAAAGGGGCTTCTGTTATAAGATTTAAATAAACCGTGTTGCCTCTAAGCTACGTCTCCAGTCTCCGTGGGAACCCACTACATATACACAAGAAATGCTGTTCTACACATAACGGCCATGCCACGTTTCAGTTCAAAGTAACGCTGCAGTACGTGCACAGGCTATGCTCCTTTACACATACTCTGTATTATACGGCACACACTTTCATGGTGCTGTCTTCACGGTATATGATGCGTTACACGTAGGCCATGCTGTATTATAAACTCCGTTCAAAGTATCAGTTTATACGTAGCCAATGCCACTGTACAAAGACAAAGATCCCCCCTCATAGCCTTAACAAATTTTTGAGGCAAGTGGTGTTAGTGAGGACCTACAGAGGACGGGCACAGTACACAGGGGAGTGGGTAGCCAACACCACGCATTTGTCTCCCTCGTGGTGATGTGTACCCACTGTATCAGGTACTCATTTGAGGTTGAGTCGATCAAGGGGAGGCCCAGGACCGGTTCAGATATTTCCCACTGTTATACCGGTAGGAACAACAGATTCCACACTGCCCACCAGGGATTATTTGTCTGTCGTGCATGAGGAGGGGAGGGTGGGGGTGGGAGGGGTGGGGCTGGGTGGAGATGGGAGGGTGGGGAGGGGCTGAGGGAGGGGAGGGTGGGGAGGGGCTGGGGGAGGAGGGGAGGGGCTGGGTGGGGGGTGGGGCTGGGTGGGGAGGGGCTGGTCACCCCGTGATGCCCTTATAAAACTCAACGTTTAACCTACACACTACACTATACACGACACGATACACTACACTTATACAAGTGTAGTGAGTTCTCAGGGAGACAGACGACGTAGTTGAGGCACACTCTTTTATTTAACCAAAAGGCGGTAACAATACTTGAAGGGGTAATGGCCCCTTCACCCGTACTCAATGGGAAACACCCCTAGCACTATCCCCTGACTTCTCCTATTCCCAGTCCTCCGCTATGAGTGCTAGGGGAGGCTATCTGATCCGGCCCTGGTCAAGCACGGATCCCGGCACCCAGCTAACCAGGCCGTGCTCTTACAAGAGCAGCGGTCCTGGAGCTCTTGGGGCCGAGCCACTTGCCCTGCTCGGCCCTGACAAGGACAGCGAGCCAGGGGAGTTCCAGGGCCTATTCTGCCGGTCTTCAGTCTTCTCTGGTAAGCGTCTAACACACTGGCCTCGAGCCCTCTGGCTCCCCGCCTTTTATAAGAATCCTCTCCGAGGGGTGGGGCTATGGGGGATCACAACGCCCCCATGCCCCCCCAGGGTTAACCGATGCGGACGTGGATGTAGACACCCGTGTGTGGGTCCAGACACCCTTGTGTTTGTCCGCCTTTCTTCCCGTAACAACCCCTAAATTTGTATTTAGTGTTGAAAAACTGGCAGGATTTTACGTACTTTGTGCTTATATGCTCAGTTATTTTGTGACTTCCTTACATTTTTACACTTTGCACTCATTTTCTTTTGTTTGTTGTTGTAACTTGCTGACCCTGTGCCTCGACTGCATATCTGTGAAAGAAGAGCTTCATAGCTTATCGGATTCCTCTTCATCCAGTCTAAATAATTTATTCTGATTTTGGAAACTAATGCAGGATAAAACGGGGGGGGGGGGGTAGAACACACTCCACATTCTACACGGAGAAAGTGGCCCAAGTTTGGGCATTAAACCCAGGTCCCTCTGTGAGTTCCAGCCCTGCCGCCTGCAAACGAACACATGTACAGTTCAAACCCCACGTGTACATTCGGTTATATACGGATGTATTTTTATAATTGGTTTCTGGGTGAGGACAAATAATGAAGCAGCCATATCTTTGCCATGTAGCCTTTCATCCAGTGTGATATCTTAAGACTAATGCCCATTTTGTAACCAGACCCACGATGGGCAAAGGTATGCTGCGTTACTGCAGCATCGTTATTAACCTGGTTAATCTATCTCTGCACGATGGTGGGGGGGGAGTGCGATCTCTGCTGTAGCAGGAAGTTGGAACGGTGTCGTGCGCATCTTTTTACAGAGCGGAGCCGGCGCTGCCCCCATCCTCCGCGCTCACCCAGGCCTCTAAATGGCTGACGGTTGTTGTGGAGGAAGAGGAGACTCTGGTGGAGGAGCTGTTGGTGCAGGAGGAGGAGACCCTGGTGGAGGAGCTGGTGGTGCAGGAGGAGGAGACCCTGGTGGAGGAGCTGTTGGTGCAGGAGGAGGAGACCCTGGTGGAGGAGCTGTTGGTGCAGGAGGAGGAGACCCTGGTGGAAGAACTGGTGGTGCAGGAGGAGGAGACCCTGGTGGAGGAGCTGGTGGTGCAGGAGGAGGAGACCCTGGTGGAGGAGCTGGTGGTGCAGGAGGAGGAGACCCTGGTGGAGGAGCTGTTGGTGCAGGAGGAGGAGACCCTGGTGGAGGAGCTGTTGGTGCAGGAGGAGGAGACCCTGGTGGAGGAGCTGGTGGTGCAGGAGGAGGAGATCCTGGTGGAGGAGCTGGTGGTGCAGGAGGAGGAGACCCTGGTGGAAGAGCTGGTGGTGCAGGAGGAGGAGACCCTGGTGGAAGAGCTGGTGGTGCAGGAGGAGGAGACTCCGGTGGAGGAGCTGTTGGTGCAGGAGGAGACCCTGGTGGAGGAGCTGGTGGTGCAGGAGGAGGAGACCCTGGTGGAGGAGCTGGTGGTGCAGGAGGAGGAGACCCTGGTGTAGGAGCTGGTGGTGCAGGAGGAGGAGACCCTGGTGGAGGAGCTGGTGGTGCAGGAGGAGGAGACCCTGGTGGAGGAGCTGGTGGTGCAGGAGGAGGAGACCCTGGTGGAGGAGCTGGTGGTGCAGGAGGAGGAGACCCTGGTGGAGGAGCTGGTGGTGCAGGAGGAGGAGACCCTGGTGGAGGAGCTGGTGGTGCAGGAAGAAGAGATGAGGGGGGGACAGAGGAGGTATGGACGAAGGAGCAGGAGGAGGAGATGGTGGTGCAGATGGAGGAGACATTGGTGGAGAAGGAGATGACAAGGAAAGAGGATCAGGTGATGGTGATGCAGGAGGAGAAGAGGAAGCGAGGGAGTCTGGCCCGCATAGGGAGAACCATCCGTTCACTCCTCCGACGCATGCTGCTGTGTGGTGGCCGGTCCACCACACAGTAGAGGTGGTGGTGGTGGTCACGGATCGTTGTGAACCACAACCACTACCACCATACCCACCACACACACCCTGCACCCATTCACCCCCCTGTGATACCCACCACCCAACGCACACCACACACACATTGCACCCACCCACCCCATGATCCCACCCCCACCACATTCCACACAAAGGGTTAGGGGTTTAGAGGGTTAGGGATTTATAAAGTTAAGGGTTTAGAGGTTTTGGGTTATTTCAGGGATAAGGGGTTTAGAGGTTTAGGGATTTCGAGGGTTATAGGGTTTAGGGGTTGAGGGGATTCGAGAGTTAGGGGTTTAGAGGGTTGGGGTTTAGAGGGTTAGGTGTTTAGAGGATAAGTCTATTTGGGGTAAAGGGTTTTAGAGGGTTAGGGTTTTCAGGGTAAAGGGGTTTAAGGGTAAAGGAGTTTAGAGGTTAAAGGGGTTTAGAGGGTTAGGAGTTTATAGGGTTTTGGGTTTACAGTGAGGGAGAAAAGTATTTGATCCCCTGCTGATTTTGTACGTTTGCCCACTGACATAGAAATGATCAGTCTATAATTTTAATGGTAGGTTTATTTGAACAGTGAAAGACAGAATAACAACAAAATCCAGAAAAACGCACGTCAAAAATGTTATAACTTGATTTGCATTTTAATGAGGGAAATAAGTATTTGACCCCCTCTCAATCAGAAAGATTTCTGGCTCCCAGGTGTCTTTTATACAGGTAACGAGCTGAGATTAGGAGCACACTCTTAAAGGGAGCGCTCCTAATCTCGGCTTGTTACCTGTATAAAAGACACCTGTTCACAGAAGAGTTTTAGAAGGTTATGGGTTTAGAGGTTTTGATGTTTAGGGGATTAGGGGTTTATAAGGTGAGGGGTTTAGTGGGTTACGGTTTTACAGGTTTAGGGGTTTCGACGGTTTGGGGTTTATAAGGTTAAGGGTTTAGGCAGTTAAGAGTGTTGGGGGTTTATGGGTTGCCGTTTTATAGGGTGAGGTGTTTAGACGGTTGGGGTCTTAAGGGGAAAGTCCTTCAGAGGATTTGGTGTTTAGAGGGTTAGAGTTTAGAACGTTTTGAGTTTAGAGGGTTTAGAGAGTTACGTGTTTAGAGGTTTATGGGTTTTAGAGGGTTAGGGGTTTAGAGAGTTACGTGTTTAGAGGTTTTTTCTTTCGATTGTTGGATGTTGAATGGTTTAGATGGTTAGTAGTTGAGGTTATAAGGGTATGTGTTTAGGGGTTTAGAGGTATCGGGGTTTCAAGGGTTAGTGATTTACAGTGTTACAGGTTTAGTGGTTTGAGAGTTGAGGGTTTAACACGTAGACTTTCACAACTAATATTGCATTTTAGGGGCATAGGTGTTTTAAGGGTTAGGTGTCGAGAGGGTTCGTTCTTTAGAGGGTTGGGGTTTAAATGTGTTGGGATTAGGTTACAGATTTAGGGTTTTAGAACGTTAGGGGTTTGAGGGTTAGGGTTTTAGAGGTTGAGGATTTAGGAGGTTATGAGTTCAGAGGGTTAGGGGTCTAGAGGGTTAGTTCTTTAGAGGGTAGTGGTTTAGATTGGTTGGTATTTAGAATGTTAAGGATTTAGGGTTTTAGAAGGTTAGGGTTTCAAGGTTTAGAGGGTTAGGGATTCAGAGGGTTTCGAAGTTTTGGTTTTTAATGGCTTAGACGGTTAGGGTTAAAAGAATAAGGGGTTTAGAGAGTGAGGGTTTTGGTGGGTTAGGGTTTTAAGGGTAAAGGGGTTGAGGGTTAGGGGTATAGGAATTTAGAGGGTTAGGGGTTGAGATGGTTAGTGTTTTGGTGGTTTAGAGTTTAAGCTTTTAGAGGGCGAGGGGTTTAAAGATTAGGGTTGTAAGGGTAAATGGGTTGAGAGGGTTAGCGGTTTAGATGGTTATGGATTTAGATAGTTAGGGGTTTAGAGGGTTTTAATTGTTCGAGGTTTAGTGGTTAAGGTCTCTGTGCGAGTCCAACATGTTTGTATGAGTCTATGGTAAGATAAAAAGAGTTCAGTTTAATTTGTATATTTCGAAACAATTTGTTTACCTTTCCTGTGATGTTTTTGTATCGTATTTTTGTTGTTATTTTCTGACCCACAAGATTGGACGTCTGTGAAAACAGATCGTTATAGCTCATCAGATGCATCCAGTATAAATAAATATTCAAATTCTAATTCTATTGACCTCTGTGCGAATCTATAGATTTCTGTGTGAGTTTTTGGGCCTTTGAGTGTATGGATCTCTGTGTGAGGCTATGGGTCTCTGTGAGTATGGGGTCTCTGTGTGAGTCTGAGTGTCTGTAGGAATGTATGGGTCTCTGTTGGGGTCTATGGGTTTCTGGGTATGGTTGTTTGTGCGAGTCTTACATGCACAAATTTAACTTAAAATGGCCATTGAGGGTTGCGGAATCCAAGTTGAATATTAAGTTCCCTGCAGTGCAAGCCAGCTCTCTAGTCGTGTCAAACAGCCCCTTTAATTCTTTATAATAATAAAATAGACTTAGTCCAGGAAATCCACACTGAGTCACAGTCAGGTCCTGAATTGTTTTTTTACATTTCCGACGAATGAATGATGAGTTCTTACACAAGTGGAGGGGGGGAATTCGAGAGACTTGCACCGTTGTTTCAACTGCCATAGAAACAAACTGGTGACCTTAGGATCATCGCAAATCCAGTGTGCTAACCATTACACTGTGGCAAATCACCCACACGCTCACTCACCGAGCTACACACATTCACTCAGGACCGCAGCTCACAACACTTCTCTTTCTGCTTCTTCTCTTTTACTGACCCCATGCATAAAACATCAAGGTGCCTTACAATGGGGGGGGGGGGGGGGGGTAAGAAGTGGCTAAGTTAAAATTCGAGATGCTTTCTTAAAAGATAAATATTTTTAGGGGGGACCTGAAGGCCCAAACTGAACTAGACTCCCTGACCAACTTTGACAAAGAGTTCCAAAGTCCAATGGCCACCAAAGCAAAATCCCGGTCGCCCATGGACCACTTTGAGCTTTCTTCTCGCGATACAGAGATCTAAATCAGCGATTCTGATGATGCAATTTACATGAAAGTGACGCTTCACAGTGGACGTTATAATTCCCGCTGATGGCATTACTACTATAATAGCCCAGAAATGTGTGTAATGCACGTGACGTCACTCCACATACCCCCTCCCCCGTCATTAATAATAAAATAATCATGAACGGGTGGATTTTTACACTCACGCGGAAGGCCGAGTGGAAAGATAGTTTTTTCGCAAAGTTGCTTCAAATATGACGTTTCTTTACAGAAAGTAAAAAATAAATATACGCAGCAGTGCTACATCCGTACGTGACGTCACTGCAAAAGAGACACCCCCCCCTCATTCATAATCATGAGCGGGTGGATTTTTACATTCCCGCAGGTTGATTGGAAATAATTTGTTTTACGCAAATTAACTTTAAATTTGACGTTTCTTTATTGAAATGTAATCAAATCAATATTTCTACGCAGCAACAAAGTGTATTTGGTGTCTTTATTTATTTCTTCAGCACTTGAAACAAAAGGTAAGTCTAATTTTTGCTTCTAAATTATTATAAAAGTAGCCTATAGCCCGTCCAAGGACGGGTGTATTGCAGTTAATCTGAAATATTCAATCGAAAATAAAGACCCGCTCATGATTATTAATGAGGGGGTGGGGCCAGGGTCCACATGAGTGACATCATCATTCCATGATCATTGATGAAGGGGGGGAGCTCCATGTGGAGTGACGGAATCCGCTCATGATTATTGATCAGGGGGGGGAACTCCATGTGGAATGACATCATCCACTCTTGATTATTAATGAGGGGGTGGGTGGCGTGGTCCACATCAGTGACGTCATCCGCTCATGATTATTAATTAGGGTGTTTGTGTCCCGCGCGTGACGTCACTCCACATGCCGCACCCCCGTCATTAAGGTAGAGCAGAATTATTATTTGTTGCAAATTCGCTTTAAGTTTCACGTTTCTTTATTTAAAATGAATCTAATAAATAATTCTACGCGGCAACAAATTGGATTTGGGGTCTATATTTTTTCCTAAGATAAGTCTAATTTATGCTTCTACATTTTGGTTACATAGACATTTCTCGGTGATTTTCCAGATATTGTATTGCAATCCAATTTATTTGCACCCCAGCGACCGAAAGCAGAAAATAATAAAGTATCAGAGCAGTGAATTAGAACAAATTGAAGGTCAGCTATATACAGTGCTACAGTGAAATGCAGTGAAGTGTTTTATGACATAATTTCGTGCAAGATTCACTGCCATTCAATTAACACAAAATACAATTATACTCTGCTAATTTTTTTCGTAAATATTACAGCTTCCGTCCTAGGATGGGCAAAGAAGCTAGTTTGATAAGAGTAGGCCAATGTGTGTTGCTGTCACGGTTCAAATTTTCCAAATTCACAAATGACCGACAAATTCCTCAATTGGCATTCCACAAAGCAACATCACAACATGTAGCTACTGCAGACTACTGTATGTGCTGTACTGCGCCTTCGTGATAGCCTTGCGCTGTAAGCCTTGCGATTTTACACCTCCCCCTTTTATATCGTTTAGAAAATACGTTGTCACTTCATTATCAACACCACCGCTACCCGACTAGCATTGCCTCAACCCACACTCATGTCGCTGACAGCATCGTCTGCCCTTTCTCGTAACTGTCGCCTCTCAACCTTCACCTCCACCTAACCCTGTACACAAACTACTTTGCATCGCGCATAAAGAAATGTTCTGTACTATGGAGTACAATATAGTAATTACGCATGATATTTTAGTGATTTTATTTTCATAATGTACTGCTAATAATGTTTTAACGTTTACTGCCGAAACTAGTATTGAGTGTAGTATTTTTAGTAATTGAATGTAATGTTGCGGATACGTCTAGGATGAAGATGCACGCATTAACACGGCTTCAGCATTGTTTAGTCCTCGTGGCAAAATTGCGTTGATTTACGTCGTTTCGGTATTCGTTGTCGCACATTTAAGAAAAGCATCCCCGACATAAACCGGGGTATTACTGTCAACTAAATTATTATTATTCAAGACTTACCACCTCACGTGTAGGTCGTCGCGATCGCATGCTAGAAGCTTGCACATTTGCCTGTTTCTCATTACGAACGTGTCCCAAGGCCTTGTTCAGATCACCTTGAGTGTGGGCCAAGGCAACTGCGTGCACGGACAGTGACCCACACTCGGCGCGGAGACGTGCCACCACCCCACGCACCTCGCGGCTGTACAGGTACATGTGGCGCACACTCACATTCACCTCCACCTGTCAGGAGGACAGAAACAAGAGTTAGGGACAAGGACATTTTTATTATTGTTACACTTCCTGACCCAGAAAATCCTAAGTCTCAAGAATATTTTTAACGAGGGTCATGCCATTTTTTTGGCAGCAGGAGGGGATGATGATTACATGTGTCATCCGAATTCAGTAATTTTGCAAGTAATTTCCAGCATTGGGATAGATGAGCAATACATGTTCAATTGGAAGGGGTTTTTTATTTTATGGGAGGAAATACATGTGTAGTGAGTCCAACTGAGTTGCAGAAGTTCTTCTTCAGAGGCAACACAGTGCATCGCACGCCGTGCTCTGCTAGAGCCGGCATCACTCTGCAACACACACGATGCTGTCTGGCACCATACAGTTACATCCCCAATGTCACTCACTACACATGTGTAGAGTAGTATGACGACATGACATCATGAGCGCTGTGAGGCGCAATGACGTCATGTCACGGGAAATACTTAAGGGGGACCCCGTGGCGAAAGCGGGGTCGTTGTGGGAGCCCGGGATGGTGAGCGTCTTAAGGTCTCTCCTGCTCGTGACCGGACGGTGTTGGCTGACCCCCCGTCCGGGTTCTACGAGTAGGAGAGCCGAAGATACAGCCAGGGGTAGGGCTCAGAGAAGTCTGCAAGAGCCGGTTAAGATTACGTGGGGTGCTGCTCTCCTCGGTCGGGTGGTGTTGGATAAGCCCCCATCCCAACTCGAGTGAGAGGCCAAGAGATAGCCCAGGCTAGGAATAGATAGAGCCTGACGTCCGCGTCAAGGACTGAGTGTAGGGACACCTACCTCTGGTGTGTTGTGTTACCTCTGTGTTAATAAACTGGCGCAAGCCCTTACTAAGAGTTCAGTCTACGAGTCGTCCATGTACAGCAGGTGGAGAACATACACACTCCTCAATTAAGCCCACAAATCAACTATGCATCATAACGCTGGCCGTGGAAACCTAAGTTTATGAATAAAATAATTGACGTGGCTCAGCGGTAGTGCATTTGCCACTTGTTGCAGAGGTTTGCGGTTCTATTCCGACAGGCCGTCCTGGTTAATACTAAGATGTACGAGCCGTAAAATAAACGCCATCGGCTTCACAGGGGACATCGAATATCCCGTTTAACATGTAGGCTTTCACGACGAATATCATCCATAAGAGGTTTGTTTTGTTAGATCGTGTAAATATATGTGTCGTTAAAATCCACCACCACCCGACACAGCCAACTAGTAAGGGTTGTAATGTAAACAGAACATGCCAATTTGTCACTAGTACAGCACACTGGTGTGTTGGAGAGCCAAGCCACAACATTTACAATCTGAGTACGATGTTTTGCCAGTATTACAACTAGCTTCATCAGGCGACAGACAGATTTGTGGAGAAGTCCACCTGTTTTGTTCCTTATATAGAGGCGTAGATGTGGTGACCACACTTCACGCTCTTGCGTAAAGTGGAGGGGGGGCGATTAATGAGTCAACGCACATTATGCATGTGCATTATACGAGCCCTTTAATCTTGTCCTTCCAGTCCATTGTGTGTATTAAAATAGCCGTATCAATGACAATACTATATTCTATCAAAAAAAATAAAATATATATTTTGAAACAATCTTTTTTATATGTTATGTTTCGGCTTGGGTCTAATTGTCAACGCTCAACTTACGTAGGCTGTAATTGACCACGGTCCCTTACATTATGGCAAGCCTCGGGGCCACTTCCTGGAGTTGTGGAGTTCTGCCATTACTCATACGGTACATTTCATTAAAGCGTGTTTAAAAAAAAGTATTTTAAAATATTACTTATTCAAAAGAAGTTTTAGCATCTGTATTATTAGTGCTGTTACCAATACCTCAATGAAGCCCTCATATATTGCTCATACATGTGCAATAATACAGGTCGACGACAAGCGACTGTGTTCATTCAGACGCTGTCTCCCCGACAGACCTGTTCTTCACCTGAGGACGGCTGCTTGCGTTGTGGCCAAAACGTCGTGAAAATTGTATTTTATTATGTTTTATTTTTATTATTTTATTATTTCCCTTCTACGTGACTTTACCGAAAGAACCAAAAAAGAAGCGACTGTGTCTCCGTCTGTTTATTTCTTCGTTATATGGACAGCTCGCGTTCCGCTCTCTCGGACGTTCCGCGGCGCGTCGCGTGAGCTGGCGTCCCGCTTCCCCGCTCCCGCGCACCGCTGGCAGACGGCGCGCTGGGAGCCGTCTCCGCGTCGCCACGTGGCCGATGGCTCACGGAGACCCGCGACGTGGTCCAGCTTCCAGCTCTCACCAACTGACCTCGAGCCCCTTCCGGCTCTCCATTATATCCCCTTCCCGCGTCACCCAGACTCTGCCCTTCACCACACCCCTTGAGAACTTTCCAGATAATACCACCCCCTAGCGCCCGCGGGCTCCACCCTTGAACCCTTCCCCCGATGGCTCGTGTCGCCTGGATGGGTTAGGGGCTGGGGCGGCGAAGCCCCAGCCTACGCTCGCATTACACATGTAAGAATTAAAGCTGTTGGGAATGCATCCCCATATATACAATTGTCTAATGAACTCCTTTATGCGCCGATTTGATTAGTGGCCACTTCTCCAGCATACACATTTTGAGCGCTAAGCAAGGTCTGCCTGTACAATAATTTTCACTATTATTATTCAAGCACACAAATACCTCTCTAGACGTGGGCAGCATGGCTCGACCTCTGGTCTTGCTCCGTGAATTGCCGGCATTCTCGCAGACGCCCCATGCCTCACTGCATGCAGCTAAAGACATGGCTGTACTCTCCAATTGCTGTCAAATGAGAAGAGAGTTTAAGACACCATGAAGCACTTTTCTTGACACTGCAACACCACCACACCATCTTGACTAGTTTTACCGTGTCAATGACCACATATGCCAATGCAATTTATATACAGTGAGGGAACAAAGTATTTGATCCCCTGCTGATTTTGTATGTTTGCCCACTGACAAAGAAATGATCAGTCTATAATTTTAATGGTAGGTTTATTTGAACAGTGAGAGACAGAATAACAACAACAAAATCCAGAAAAAACGCATGTCAAAAATTTTATAAATTGATTTGCATTTCAATGAGGGAAATAAGTATTTGACCCCCTCTCAATCAGAAAGATTTCTGGATCCCAGGTGTCTTTTATATAGGTAACAAGCTGAGATTAGGAGCACACTCTTAAAGGGAGTGCTCCTAATCTGAGCTTGTTACCTGTATAAAAGACACCTGTTCACAGAAGCAATCAATCAATCAGATTCCAAACTCTCCACCATGGCCAAGACCAAAGAGCTCTCCAAGAATGTCAGGGACAAGATTGTAGACCTACACAAGGCTGGAATGGGCTACAAGTCCATCGCCAAGCAGCTTGGTGAGAAGGTGACAACAGTTGGTGCGATTATTCGCAAATGTAAGAAACACAAAAGAACTGTCAATCTCCCTCGGCCTGGGGCTCCATGCAAATCTCACCTCGTGGAGTTGCAATGATCATGAGAACGGTGAGGAATCCGCCCAGAAATACACGGGAGAATCTTGTCAATTATCTCAAGGCAACTGGGACCATAGACACCAAGAAAACAGTTGGTAACACAGTACGCCGTAAAGGACTGAAATCCTGCAGCGCCCGCAAGATCCCTCTGCTCAAGAAAGCACATATACATGCCCGTCTGAAGTTTGTCAATGATTCAGAGGACAACTGGGTGAAAGTGTTGTGGTCAGATGAGACCAAAATGGAGCTCTTTGGCATCAACTCAACTCCTGTGTTTGGAGGAGGAGGAATGCTGCCTATGACCCCAAGAACACCATCCCCACCGTCAAACATGGAGGTGGAAACATTATGCTTTGGGGGTGTTTTTCTGCTAAGGGGACAGGACAACTTCACCGCATCAAAGGGACGATGGACGGGGCCATGTACCGTCAAATCTTGGGTGAAAACCTCCTTCCCTCAGCCAGGGCATTGAAAATGGGTCGTGGATGGGTATTCCAGCATGACAATGACCCAAAACACACGGCCAAGGTAACAAAGGAGTGGCTCAAGAAGAAGCACATTCAGGTCCTGGAGTGGCCTAGTCAGTCTCCAGACCTTAATCCAATAGAAAATCTGTGGAGGGAGCTGAAGGTTCGAGTTGCCAAACGTCAGCCTCGAAACCTTAATGACTTGGAGAAGATCTGCAAAGAGGAGTGGGACAAAATCCCTCCTGAGATGTGTGCAAACCTGGTGGTCAACTACAAGAAACGTCTGACCTCTGTGATTGCCAACAAGGGTTTTGCCACCAAGTACTAAGTCATGTTTTTCAGAGGGGTCAAATACTTATTTCTCTCGTTGAAATGCAAATCAATTTATAAAATTTTTGACATGCGTTTTTTCTGGATTTTGTTGTTGTTATTCTGTCTCTCACTGTTCAAATAAACCTACCATAAAATTATAGACTGATCATTTCTTTGTCAGTGGGCAAACGTACAAAATCAGCAGGGGATCAAATACTTTTTTCCCTCACTGTATGTAAAACTGCTCAATTATTTACAACTAGCCTTTAGCCCGTCCAAGGACGGGTGTATTGCAGTTAATCTGAAACTTGCAAGCAAAAAGCAGACCGCGACGTGATATTCATTGCATTAATGCGTGTGCAATTTGTAAGGGCGCAGTGACACAGACCTATTTCATTTTAAGGTTATAATCCCTTGTTCATCATGACGTCCTTTTTACTTTGATGTCTCAATAGCATTACGGAGATTGCTTGACTTGAGGGTTTTGCCTTTGTAGTGAGGTTTGTAAGTTAACGCTGAGGAGGGGGGAGGAGGCACCTCGGCCCCCCATGTGGAGTGACGTCAGCCGCTAATTATTATGAATGGGGGGAGGTGTCCATTTGGAGGACGTCACCTTATGATTATTAATTAGGGGGGCTGTTCGATGTGGAGTGAGTGAGCCAGAGGTGTGGACTCGAGTCATGTGACTTGGACTCGAGTCAGACTCGAGTCATGAATTTGATGACTTCAGACTCGACTCGACAAAATGTACAAAGACTTGCAACTCGACTTGGACTTTAACATCAATGACTCGTGACTTCACTTGGACTTGCGCCTTTTGACTCGAGAAGACTTGCTACTTCCCATGAAAACTGGGGGAAAAAATGTTCACACGGCCGCGCCGCTCTCAGTTTATCTGCATTTGTGAAAAAAATGTGCACCACCTGTATGCATGCAGAGAGCACGCGCGCTGCCTGCACGACATCCAATCACTGTAGTCCCACGTTGTTTTGATTGGACAGCATCTAAGCAGGCACATTGCAAGACAACCAATGAAGCGCAACAAGCAACAACGCGCCAGTTGGCAAAATGATACCGAAGATAGTTTCGTTTGGCTATAAAAATTACGATGTAGTCGACAAAAAACGAGTTGCAATTTGCAAAACATGCGGGTCGAAGATTACAGACGGTGCTGCCACAACGTCTAACTTTGTTCGACACCTGAAGTTGCACAAAGAAAGGTAAGTTTTGAACGAATGCTAAGCACCTTATCGGATGTACCGTAACTTACTAGCTGCTGCATATTTACTGTATCAACGAGACAGTAAACGCACGTCTCCCTTGCTGGTTAATGCTTATGTAATAACAGCCATAGAGGGTTCACGTGGGGATTGGCTTGCCGGTCCTGCTCGTAGCCAATAAGGGTTGAGATTGGGACCATGGCCCATGCGTCATCACGACAGGTCATCGGAAGTGATTGGCCTAGCCATTCGGGCCCCAGCGAATGGGGAGCCGGATGAGGGGCGTGGTCCCGGGATTGACAGGGAACCATCGAGAATGGTGAGAGCTGTCCATACATGATTGGCTGGGGGAACCACGTGACGAGGGTCTTAAGAGCGAGCGAGAGGGAACGATCGGGGGCAGACTGAAAATAACAGAAGCAGGGTCACGTGCGGACGGAGCCTCGGGTTGCCACGTGCGCGAAGGGAACTTCGTGTGGAGTCTGTCCTCTCTCTCCGTTGTCTGCCAGCAACGGAGAGTGAGTGGGAGAAGTGTATGGTGGAGTGGAAATAAAAGGACTGATTCCGAAGCCGTCTCCTGGAAGATTATTACATTGGTGTCAGAAGTCATTCTGCGACTGTTTGGACGATCGTCAAGATGTCTAAGCACCTCAGAAAAAAGAACCTGCCCGTGCCTCTGTCGGAGGAAGAGGTCGAGACGGATGAAGATGAGCTATTGGGAGCTACAGCCCTGGTGCCGCCGGCTGACGGCGCCCGCCTCGACGCCTCTCAGCGTCGACCGGGAGAGGACGCGACCACCGCAGGACTGAGAGACGAATGGCGGCTGATGGCGGAGCAGATTGAGTCGTTGCGCGCGATTCTGCTCAGCCTGGTGACCGCGGTGGCATCCTCACCAGCCGTGGGTCGCCAGATCGCTGATCAGTTAGACGCCGCGGGAAAGGGTCCTGCTATGGAAGCAGGACCCGCCATTGCTCCTGCCACACGGATGGACGGCGTCGTCTTGGGAGAGGCGGCTGCGCCGGAGTCGCCGGCCGCCATTTTGGGCGCGCCTGCCACCACGCGGCCGCCGGACGCCATTTTGTCTGCACCGAGCGGAGAGCGGGAACGAGGGCCGGAGACGCCCGCGGCACGTGCCTGCCATCGCGGGCATCGCCTTCCGCAAATGAAAGAATTTATCGCCGGGGGCGATTGGAGTGCTTTCACGTGGCGTTTCGAGTCAGCTTTCAGATCTGTCAACTGGACGGAGGAAGAAGCGCTGGGAGCGCTGCCTACGCTGCTCGATGATGTGTCTCTAGGAGTCTTCCGCTCCATCCCGGCGTCCAAGAAGAAGACACTGCGGGACGCGTTCACTGAAATGGCGGAATTTTACGACCCGCCGACATCGGCCACCAGAAAATTCATGTCGCGTCGCCGGGCACCGGAGGAATCGCCGTTGGCCTATCGGGGGGCATTGATGGCTATGGCCATGGCCGCCTACCCCGACGCGACGGCCGAGCATTTGGATCCTCTCATCCTTTCCCGCATGCTGGAGTTGTCTCAGGAGCTCAGCATCTCTCTACCGGTGTGCGGCCACGAACCGCTTTCGTCGCGGTGGGTGGCGCGCTGCCTGGACGCTAAGTTTAATATCAAGCGGTGGGACCAGATGGCGGCGTGGACGGGGAAACCTGAGATCGACGGGCCGCCTCTGGGGTGGTCTCCGCGACTGGTGGTCCACTGCTCCGACGACTCGGGCGACGACGACATGCTGGCTGCTGCTGTCCCGCATAGAGTTCCGGGCCGGTGGCTGCGCGACCAACGGGGCGACTACACGGGCCGACCGCGAGCGAGGGCCGGGTCGTCCGACCGCCGGCCGACGTCGGCCGCGTGTTTCAAGTGCGGCAGACGGGGCCACTTCGCCCGTGACTGCCGCTGCCGACCTCTGCTGTCGCCTGCTCCGCCGAGGGGACCTCTATCTCCTCTACCTGTCGCGGAGCTGCAACAACCTCGGGCGAGTCGGCACAAATCGGACACCCGGCAGGTCGTGTCACATCACTCATCCACTCGCACTCATTCTTACACTCCTCAGGGTAATTTTACTTCTCCTGCTCCATTGACACGCTCTGCTACTCAGTGGAAGAAATTGGCTCGCAGGGTGGTGGCCGCGGCGTCGGGCTCGTCGACGGTACGTGGTACCATCGACGGCGTCGACGTCCGTATTTTGGTGGACACTGGCGCATCGGCTACCATCGTTTTGGATGTCATTTTTCATTTGTTGTCCATTCCTGCGTCGAAGATACGCAAAGTTAATGATGCTTGTGTGGCCGCCAATGGGGGGAACATGGGTATCTGCGGACAGGTGGATGTGAGCATCACTATCGGAAATATTACCGCCGCAGGACCAGTGTTAATTTCTCGCTCGCTAGCTGTTCCATGCTTGTTGGGTACTGATTTTCTGCGTCGGATGCCGTTGCGGATACGGGTCGACCAGGACTGTTTGGAAATGCCGGGGGGTCGTAGGATGGCATTCCTGCCTTCCCTGCTGGCCAAAGCGCCTACAGGTAACGCGGTTACTGCTGTAGTTGCAGCTACGGTGGAGGTTCCATCGGGAGCACAAATGCTTATCCCGCTACGTTACCGAAAACCACTCCAAGTGGGAAGGGATGCGAAAGGTGTGCTATTATCCCCGTCGAATTCCGTGTCGAAATCTTTTCTTTGGCGGCGGCACAAACGATTGTGCGCCCGGGTCAGGCACCTTTCATACAGGTCTTGAATGGGGGACCTGATCGAGTTGTTGTCCCGGAGGGATCGGTGCTGGCTCACGCCACTACCGATTTCGCCTCTTGTGAAAAACCGCCGCGCGCTCGGATGGCCGCGGTTGGGCCTCCGCATGATCGTTCACAAGAACGCTGGATCGCCGATTTATGCGGAGAGAATTCTTCCTTGTCAAATGAACATAGGAACGCATTGCGTTCGCTGTTGCTGCAGTACACTGATGTGTTCAGCAAAAGTGATTTGGACCTCGGACGCACATCGCTTTTGTCGCACCATATTGAAACGGGTGCGTCGCCGCCTGTCTGTATGCACCCTCACCGCTTGAGCCCGGCGGAAAGGGAACACGTGCGTGGCGCTGTAGATGAATTGCTGGCGGCGGATATTATCTCACCATCCAATAGTCCGTGGGGCGCGCCCGTCGTTCTGGTTAAGAAAAAGGATGGTGGTACGAGGTTTTGTGTTGATTTCCGCCGGCTGAACAAAATCTCGGTAGCGGACGCGTACCCCTTACCGAGGATGGATGACTCTTTGGATGCTTTATCGGGTGCTAAATTCTTTTCCACCCTCGACCTATCCTCGGGCTTTTGGCAGCTTCCCCTCGATGATGAGTCGAAACCCAAAACGGCATTCCGCACGCCGCAAGGCCTCTTTGAATTTAATCGGTTGCCGATGGGCCTGAACGCGGCTCCGGCCACGTTTCAGCGGCTCATGGAACTGGTATTGACCGGACTGCAGTGGGAAACGTGC